GTTTACTGAAACATTTAAAGAAGCTAATCTTGCTCCTTATAGAACGCAACTTTGTCGACATCATAGATCTGTGGCAGTTCCATATAGAAAATGGGAAAATATGATACCCCTCCACCGCGCAGAACTTTACAACAGATCCATCGTTTCATTTACGGCACGCTGCCTAATTTATTATATTACGGGATGGTGAACTCGGATCGAAGAAAGTTCACCGCCTGCAATTCACCGACCAGCAGTTCCTCGAACGAAAAATTCACCGACTCTACAATTGATCGCCGATAACTTATTTATTAGAAACCATGAAACGTAAAACTTAATTTATTTCATACCATAAAGTATTGTCAATATTTCTATAAAATTGAAATCTGCTGATTTTAAATTGATTTGCCTGAAAATTATAATGGTGTATGTACCTCTAAATTTCGAATAAACAGATTTCACTGGAATAATTTAATTGAAAAAAAAACTTCTGAAACATTATTTAATTAATGTTAATTTAACCTAATTAGTAATTTATATTATGTGCCACACCCTCTCAAAAGCTCTAAAACATTACTTCTGTCATAATTTGCAACTACTCTGAAAAGTCTCAGCGCAATCCCTATATTTTTTACGCGCAGGGCTACCTTAATGGCCACTCACATATTGTTCAGTTTGCAATGTTCTGATGCTCTGCTCATGCTGAATCGCTTCAATAAACTTCCAGATATTAGATTGTCGTACAAATATTTGTATTTCGAATCCACAGTGCTTCTTAGACATGTTATCACCCCTACCGCTAAAAACCTGAAGTGCTTCTACCACATCTTCTGTTGGGACAAAGGCCAGCACAGGCAACAATCGTATTTTCATTTCAAATTCGACGTCAGTTTTGTACCCTCTTTGAAGATTTTTTCTCTGAATCCTTGGAACACAAACTGCTAGAGACGCAAGAAACTTTCTCGATGTCTAGCCCTTGAAAATTCTTGACAAATAGCACTGACTGCGGCAGGTTCGAATTCGGCAACAACCGTTTCTGGGAAGGCACCAGGTTGAACCGGCTTCACTTATTGCAATGACCCAAGATGTGCTGTCTCTGTCTTGTCTGGTAGTAGAGCATACAAAAGCGGAATTGAACTCTTCACCTGAATATCATAGAATCTATGAAGTTGGTAAAACAATTGAGGCACTGTTTCTAAAATTCCGTCCCCAAAACAATGTTCAGATGAGACCAGTAACTGAAGATCGATGGAAAATATAACAATTCTATCTTCCATCGGTCCTGAATCAAACAAGAAGAACGGTTCAGTTTCTTAAAATGTCTCTTACTCCTCGGGAAATAAAATTTCCTCTCGGGTTATAGGCAAAGCTGGTGCTGCTTGTTTCTTTATTCTGATGTTTCAGATCGTTCTTTCAATACTGTAACCCTTCGCAATATGTTTTGCAGCATCTTGCGTAAGTCCCACAAACGCAATTAGGTATGATATATTTGGGTGCTTCTTGGCTATTTATTGCATGATCACGTACAATATCCTTTATCTTCAAAGCTTCTATATGAGCTGAATTCCAAATATAGTTGTGAACTCCCTTCACGGCCTCAATGGCATCATCATCTTCCATTGCCGCTTCTCCTTTCGTGTCGCGCAGGCAGACACGTCAGACAGAGCTTCCAACGTCCCCGATCCTGTGTCAGCGTCTGAGCTTCGGCAAAAGACAAATGCAGTCTGGAACATACTCCTTCCATATGTTTGCACCAGGTTAATTTGGGCCGTTCCGTGGGCCTTTTGCCGGTCAGATTTGCAAGGAACAGTTGCTTAGCCTTCCTTTCTGGAGGCATTCGCAACACATGCCCAAGCCATCGCAATATCATCTCCAACTGTTATTACATGAACCCGGATATTGTGCTTCCACCTGACCTTCCACTAAACGTTTCTCTCTTTTCTTTTCATTCGTGACGAACTGAAGGGCCATGACGGTTAATGAAGATTCTTAAGTGAAGTATCACACTCAAAGAACTTTTCGAATCTGACCTCTTTGGATTTTCTGAGGCTTTATATAAGGATGAAGCATGGTAATTATTGTGTTAATTAACTGATCGTTCAAATATGCCATTTCTAAATAAATGCATTAGATAAAATTTATTTTTCTGTGAGTAGGTAATATTATAGTAATTATTCTGCTCATTAGCATGATTTTTGAAACATGTTATTTCTAAATAATACTGTATATGATCATCATAAATAAATTATCGGCGATCGATTGTAAAATCAGTGAATTTTCCGTTCGACGAATTGCTGGTCGGTGAATTTTCCTGTTGGTGAACTTTCCGTCGGTTAATTGCAATCGGTGAACTTTCCTGATACCGGTGAACTCTTCACATTATATTGAAATATGCAACCCTGTGTGCCGTGTTTTAAAAGGCAAATTTAATTCTTTTCGACTCACTATCTTGTGGACGATAAATTCAGCTACACGGATTGAAATGGTTATTTGACTTTACCAGAAATGCTCTGCAGCTTCATAATTGTTCCTAATCATCGTTGTCTTTGCATTTTATAAATGTTTCTGTTAGGTCAGCGGCCTTCTATCGTAGGCAATTTACAAATCTTTCACGTCGGCAATTTTTACTTGATCTCAGTATGATTAAAAATCTGCGCTCATCATCTAGGTTGCTTCGTGTATGACCCCTGTTGCACTAGCGAAGGTCGAGAAATCGTTAATGATTATTCCGCGACAATATTTGGCTGCTTCATTGCTGTAGCATTTCAAAGTTTCTCGAGAATTGAACACATGTTTCGAAAGGAAATACAGCGCTTCAGAGATCCAAAAAAACTTCAATTACACGCTATTTACTTGATCATGCTGACACGACTGTTGATTATGACCCCCGGACGATTGAAATTATGTTTTTATAATCCGTTGAATAAATTATTCAGCGAGGTTGCTAGTTTCAAACCAACACAAGTAAGAATTCAATATTTAAAGTACAGCTAATCAGCATCACAGACTGAAATAGTTGAAATACCCTATAAATAATACCGCAAATTAGCTGAATAAAATTCTTAGTTATACGATTCAGAAAAGAAAAAATTTTATGCATAACAAAAACCGCATCTCGTACTTGGAACCTGAAGAACATTAATAACGAAGTAAACTACGATAGAATCGGCATCGATCTAAAAGTAGGATCGATTTTATATGTAATAAATTTATTGTTTGTCATTAGGAAAATATTTGCCATTTTTAATTAAATAACATCCTGTCGTCTTTTTTTATATATTGCTGAATTAA